ATATATAAATCAAGATAGCCGTTAACACTGTTAAATATATATATAAAAATCATCAAAGAAAGGTAAATACAGTGTTCGAATAAAGGACATAATAATACATCGTGTAGCATAGCTCTAAACAAATGTAGTCCTGTAAATAAATGAATAAAGAAATTGTGTAATAAAATGCCTCTGGCGGGCCTCGAACCTGCGACCTCTCGCTGTCAAGGCGAGCGTTATAACCATTAGACCACGGAGGCTTCATGGTTGAACAGATTCAAATACCATCAGATACACTCCATTACACAATAGGTACGGCTAGAAAAAAATAGCTGCATATAATATAAATCAAGATAGCCGTTAACACTGTTAAATTATATATATATTTAAAGAACTGTATTGTGAAAATTTTGTTTAAAATTATTTATACAATATATGAGGATAGTAATAATATAAAAAGCTCTTAACATGACTGAGATGGTAAAATTAATCTGGCTTCAGCAATCATCAATTTTTTATAATTAATTCGGTCTCCATCATAAATTAAGAATACCTGGTGTATTTATTGTCTGTGTAAATTGTCAACAAAACATAAGAAATCGCGGAACTAGAGTGCATTTCCCTTATATTTCAAAATTGTTTATAAGTACACAATGCTTATCAACACTTTGTTAATTAAGGATGCAAGATGACGTTGTGTATAAACAATTGGTAAACTTAACATTTACTCGTAAATTGCTAAGTACAAAAACATTGGCTAACATTTCCAAATTATTATTTTTGTACTTTTTGAAAAGCGTGCACACCTTCAACCCCCTCCCCCAAGGTACGTTTTGTACGCTCGTGAAAATAATGGATGACCCCATAGTACTTCATTTTTTATTTAGATCTTCAGAAGTCAATCAACAATGGATTCTGTATGTCTAAATGCTGGAGCTTTCAGGCTTCTGTCTTTGGACCTCGACCCTGGCTGCCTGCTCTTGGAACCCACTGGTGCCATTGGATGTGTTATTGTGGTTTTTTTTCATCCTCATTTTAAATGCTCCTAAGGCATTTATTGGGGTTTTTGTATTTTTACAAATAAAAAAAATTTGGACATGTACTTACTATGTTCTTCCATAGTATCATTTATCAGGAACGTATAAGATTCTGGATTGATATGCTCAAAATTGTCCAAATGATGGACAAGTTTTCCTACCGTAGCCTCCTTTCCCAATTTAGCTTTCCAAGCATGAAGCATATCATTCATTGCATCTGTGACATTGGATTGGTTATTTTTTTCAAATACATAAATGTCTTCATTGCTAAATCCAAGTTTACGGCCAAATGCTTTCCAGTTATTTCCTAGATACTTCTCCAGCTCTTGGAATTCTAGGTCTGTTACAACACGATCTGGAGATGTAGGTTTTGAATTTCTTGGCTTGAATAATTGCGTCGATTCTGTTTAAGAAAAAAATGTTTACACCTCAGTACTTCTTTTAAGTATAGATATTTTGCAAGATGATAGTTTTAAAATCAGTACCTAATGTTGTAGGTACACTGCAACCCTTCCCCCCCCCCACTACCAAAAAAAAAAGTATAATTAAATTATTTATACAATATAAAGATAGTAATATGAAAAGCTCTTCAAGAAATCTTCCTTAACAGGACTGAGATGGGTATCATTAATTTGGCTTCAGCAATCATCAGTTAAATTAATTTAGTCTCCATCATAAATTAAGAATACCTGGTGAAATTAAGAATACCTAAGTGAAGGATCTTCCTCAGGTCGATGAATCAGTGGAGCATCAACTTCAGTGTCTACAGAGTTTGTAATATAGAAATATAACTTCTATATATAAGTGCTGTATTGTGAAAATGTTGATGTCAAGCAATTATAAAATTACTTATACAATATATGAGGATAGTAATAATATGAAAAGCTCTTCAAGAAGTCATCCTTAACAGGACTAAGATGGGTATAATTAATCTAGCTTCAGCAATCATCAATTTTTTGTAATTTGGTCTCCATCATAGATTAAAGCCCCATTCCCGGCAAAATTTCAGTTTTTAAGAAAAATCTAATTTTTGTATAATGTTATAAAGATTTATAAATATAATACGGAATTGCTAGTTTAACTGAATTTAGACATTCCTAAGAATGAAAAAAATGTGAAATAAGACTGAAATTTGATTTCTTGTGTTCCACACAAAAAATAAATGCGGATGAATTTTTCATGTTGATTTTGCGATAGGTCGTGAGAAGAATATCGTAGGCGCCGAAAACATTAGCCTATCCAACGCTGCTAGGCTAGGCCTAGCCTTACCTCGATTAAGGTTCTGTTATCACACATAAAAACGGCCGACATGATATTTTCCGTTGCTAGTATTGACACTTGTGAATATAATTTTTCATAGGAATTATTTAAAATTTGTTAAAAAACTGATTCTGACTGAGATTTTGAAACTCAACCCCCTCCCCCAGGGTACGTTTTGTACGCTCGTGAAAATAATGGATGACCCCTAAGTACTTCATTTTTTATTTAGATCTTCAGAAGTCAATCAACAATGGCTTCTGGATGTCTAAATGCTGGAGCTTTCAGGCTTCTGTCTTTGGACCTTACAATGGCTGTCTGCTCTTGGAACCCACTGGCACCATTGGATGTGTTATTGTGGTTTTTTTTTCATCCTCATTTTAAATGCTCTTTTAATAAGGCATTTACTTGGGTTTTGAATTTTTACAAAAAAAACCCAAAAATGTGAACATCTACTTACTGTATTTTGAACCACCAGCTAATTGAGCAGTTAAACCTTCAAGTCCTTTGATAAGATCATCCCTAAGTGGATCTTCCTCAGGTCGATGAATCGGTGGAGCATCAACTTCAGTGTCTACAGATTATGTATAATAGAAATATAACTTCTATTACAGTAACTAACTTTCTCATTTTAAGCTTAGTTGGAAAATAGTGTATTTTTATGCAATCAGTGCAACAATTTTTAGATAATGAGGTATATTTCTGTTTATGAAAGCCAACATCAGTGGTGCGCCCCATTTCCCAACAGCTGATCCATTCCCTGACAGAGATCATGCCCACATCAGCCTCATCAGGGTTGGGGCAGAGGCAAAACAAAAATTAGATTATAATGTGTACCTTTAGAAGCCTTAAAATGGCATCCTCAACAGACACCCTGTCTCTGGCTTAGAACATATATTTTTCATTAATTTTTTCCCAACAGAATTTACCATGCTCACCCGTCTAACATTATACATTGTCCTTAAAATGAGTCGCCTTAATGGGTTTGCACATCTAGACTTTGTGCTTCACAATAAGTCTTTCATGTATGAAAGTTTTGTGAAGACAGTCTAAGCAAGGAGGTATTACGTTTATTTACCTCCTTGGCCTAAGTCATGTGGGCTGGCCACGACTTCAAAATGATCAAGACTAGACTAAATCCGATTTATGTGTAACAAGGTGTTTTGCTACAGCCCTTAATTATTATATGTATTGTGTTACAGTGGCAGATTTAAAGGGTGAATAGGGTGGCTAGCTACACCCTCCATTAAAAAAAAAAGTCCCAAAATTGTAGCGCTCTAAAGTTCGGGAAAAGGTAGGCTTTCTTTTTTATTGTCAACATTCCTTTTTCTCACATGTAAAAAGTCAAACAGAATAATTCTTGACATTAACAATGAATAGAAAGGGAAAGCATGGCACCCACAGGTAAACATGAAGTACAGGATTTTGTTAAAAGAAAACTAAAGTGGGAATTACTCTTATTCCATTTTGTCAGAAATCATTATAGTATTGGTAGTGTACACCATTGATTATATATGCATTCAGAACGACTGCTAAAGTTAATAATTAAATTTTAAAATTTAAAAGTCCTGTTTTACATCATCAGCGTACATCAATTTTTTGTTTTCCTAATAACTGTTGATATAATTAAAGGGTTGCTAACTGATACATTTAAGGTAAAAATAGCATTTCATCCTCTGTTGGAAAACCTATTTGCAAGATATTGTAATTTATTTATTTATTCTGCCTTTAACGTGACAACACTTTCAGTGACGCAGCACTGATCTCACTAGTGGATCACATGAACAAAAAAAGTAGAACAAAAACAAACATAAAAAAAATATACAGAAACTGAACTAAAATAAAAAAGAACCAATTCAAATGAATTAAAAAGAAGGCAAGAGAACAGAGGGTGGTCAGAAAGATATAATTAGTTTTCTGTTTAGATCAAAGTTTTTAAATTTTTAAGTTGGAGATCATTTAATTCTATTTTAATTTTGTTTGGAAGTTTGTTCCAAGCCTTAGTTGCACGGTATAAGAATGTTTCTTAATGAAAACGATCCCTGGGTTAATAATGGAGCAGTAAAAAATGGGAACAAAAAGTGGGATGGGAGGTGCAGTTTTTAGGAAGAGGGCTGGAAGGAAGAGGGTGTTTACTGTAAGTATGAGATTGTTTTGGTGTTATGTACGGTACCACACAAAAATTGGACAACACAAAGAGGCTAGTTAGGGCAGCCTAGTTGGTTAACTTTGAGAAAACAGGCTTGATTCAGGGTGACCCTGGCAGAGAACTGTCAGTGAAGCGAGGGAATCAGGATAGCCTGTGTTATCATACGAGCAATCTGGTTAACAAAATTGCGTCTAGACCCATGTCGACAGCTTCTCGAGAAGGGACCATCAGGAAGAGCATACAAAGAGGCAGCATGGGCTAGAGAAACTGTGGCACCAGACACAATCTCACAGGAACTGTACAGGCTGCCAGAATTAGAGGTACGGATAACGACAGAGGAAGAGATGTTGCTCGCAGATACGCCATTGGTGGAGATGTCAAAGCGAACCACAAGCATTGGCAAACAACTTCGCACAACCCACCACTATCACATGAGGGGGATTCGACTAAGGAAGAGGTACCAGAGAGGGTAATTAGAACAGTGATCACTGGGATGATGAAGAAGGAAAGAAACGCAGAATAGTTCGGGAAGAGAAAATCACCATGCAATTAGCGATGGGAAACTGGTGAGCGAAGTGGTGGCGGCGAAGTTCTATGAATAGGAATAGACACATGACAGATTAAATGCATTTTAGGCCTTACATTAGGTTTATGTTCTGTTATACAGCCCAAACAAGTTATTTTACCAGCCTTTCTTTGATGATTTATAT